CCCCCCCCAGTTTTTTAAAAATTTTCTACAGGGCATTTGCACTCATGAGGGAGAGTGAGAGAAAGCCACCAGGCCAGGGACTCAAACTGCAATTGACCATGTGCATAGTTTAAATTGTAGTGATCTCTATCACCAACTGGAGGCATGGGCCATGACTGTTTTAAGAAAGAACAGTGCACCTTTCACCCACCCCCAACCTCCAGTGGTCATTGTGATTGGTTCAGAGATGCATGCATTGAACCAATTGGAATCAATGTAACTCAGACATCTTTGCTGTGCCTTCTGGGAAAGAAAAGTTCTCATTTTCTTCTGTGTGAGCAACCAGAAATGAATTTCTCTTCTCTTAAAATTGGACCTTTCTCCTTAGAATGAGTAGTAGGACAATGTGAAGGCAGAGAGTCAGAGAGGGTTTGAAGAGCACAGCACCTGTGGAGCCTGAAACACAATAGAAGACATGCCAGAAGCCAGCCTAAAGAGCTGGAGAGACCTGGGCCCAGCACAAGTGGTGTAAGGCTTACATGATGTAAGCCTTTGTGGGTCAAGCTTCACCTGAACTAGTCACAACTCTGGAATCTCAGTAACTGAGATGATGCATTTTCCTTAATGTTTAAACCAATCTGGGTAGGGTTTTCTGTTACTTTAAACATAAACAACCCTTAACTAATACAAGTGAAATAGCCTAAACTGGATAGCAACCTGGGGCCCCAGAACTGCATTTCCCAGAATACCATGGAGCTACCTCTACCATAACTGGGAGTGGGAAGAAAATGAACAAGGCCACTGTCAGTAGTAAGAGAAGTGAGAACTTCCAGGATGGCTTCCATGGGATGTCAGGAGCGAGGAGGAAAAGAGAACCTAAAGACTCAACCTGGGAGTTAGAAGTTCTTGTTCCTGCATTCCAGAAAGAAGAGTCTGAGTTTAAAACAATGACTGGGGGCCAGCAGATGGCATAGTGGTTATGGCACTGGACTCAACATGGCTGACCACATGTGGGAATCCTGGACCCAGGGACTTGAAAATCACACTGGGCACATATGCATGTGTGCCCAAGATCCCAGGAGGAGAATGGAGGAGAAAGGATTGCGGGGTGGTGATTTCTAACTCTCCCTCTCACTGTCTCTGTCTCTCTCTCCAGCAAGTGAAGGCACTCAATGGCAAAAACCTCTTTCTTTTAAAAACAAAATTTATTTATTTATTTATATTTTTTAAAGAGATTTTTGCTATAGGGTGCATGCGCTTGTTGGAGAGACAGCGAGAAATCACTCCTTCCCACCCCCACCACCTGGGATCCCATTCTCCTCTTGGGATTTTGGGCATATATACACATGCACCCCTGAGTTTTAAGCCACCGGGTTGGGCCTGGAACCATAGTCGACTACGTAAGAGTCCAGTGATACAACCATTATGCCATCTGCTTGTTTCCCCCCCAACCACCACCACCAATACCTTATTACTACTCAGCCATTTCTTTCTTTTAAAAAATTTGAGTTTTCTAGTTAACAGCAGAAATTGGTCATTGGTCATTAATTTTGAAAGCAATCTTCCTTTTTTTTTAAAAAAAAAAGATGATCATTTTCAATAAAGATAAAATAGATTTACTTTGCCAAAAAAAAAAAAAAAGAAAAGGAAAGGAGCATGAATATAAGTCTCTTTTTTAGGTGATTTCATTTAATGGATACTGAAGAATGGAAAGCCGCTTTTTAAAGAAGTTCTACATTTGTTCATTTGCCATTTGTCAGTCCCTCATTTAGTAAGAAATTAAGTGTAAGAAGTCACAAGCGTTTAGTTTTGATTTTAATATTAGAACTGAGACATTTTCTCTGAGTGTGCTCTTTTTCATAAACTATTACTCTGCCTCAACAAATAAAATGAAAGGAAACAGAATGAGATCGGGGGGGGGCAGGAAAACATTTTTTAATCTTATTAATAAGAAAAAGAATATTCTTTTTGTTCATTCTGAACTTAGAAAATCAATTTTTTTTCTACATAATACTGAAATAGTTAACAATTTATTTAAAAAACATAAGCATTTACATTAAAATACAACTTAAATACGGCCTCATAAGTTTTCACTGGAAACCTTGTAAAATATGATGAATATACATGTGTTAATATTAAGAGAAGAAAGACTATTTAACATTCAAATGAAAATGCAGCATTAAATAAAATATAATAAATATCCAGGATATCAAATCCACAAATTGATCATTATTCTAATTTAGATTTTTTTTACAGTTAAGACTTTGACTATATAATTTATTATAATAAGCGTATGAGTTAAACATAGCTATTTGAAAAAAGAATGACTTAACCTGACTGCTGAAATAAAAGAATTCTCAATTTTTGCAACATATTTTAATCTATATCATATAAAAATGTCATTTTAGCAAGAAATGCAAATCCATATAACTAACTGCTCAATTAACTTCTCTTTTAATGTTAAAAAAAAAATGCCAGTTAATAGTATGTAAAGAAATAGAAGCTGATCTTATTTCTGAAATAATCTTATTACCTTAGCTTTGGCAATAAGTTTTAATATATATCATATAACTTAAATACTGTATTTACAAAATATAAAACTTATTTAGCAAAATACTATACAAAATACTGTCTTTACACATTTAAAGAGGGTCTTCTTGTTTTCATTTGTGTTAGTTTATTTTTTTTACAATGTATAAAAGCCCTTTAATTTTCATTTGTGTTAGTTTATTTTTTTTTACAATGTATAAAAGCCCTATATATTTTTAGCTCTCTTTTCCCAGATGTTTTCAGCATCCCTCCTTCCTTCATCATCTCAGAGTTGCTTTTTTAGCAGTGGAAATTGGTCTATGATTAAAAATGGGAATCTGAAGATCAAAGGTTGGTTATAAACCTGTTTTTCTAGAGAAATTCTCTTTATGAAAAGGCACTTAAAATGTAAATGATTTACTCTTTCCATTTTGAGTCATTCTGTTTCACTAAACATCTTTGACAACCTTTTTAGGGATTTCGTATCACTTAGAAAGACTTTCAGTTGTCCTCTGGAAGCACAGGGAGGGGGACATGAGCATTCCCTGTTTATGTTCACTGCTTAGCGTCTGTCTATGCCCAAATGCTTTTTGATTTCTCAATGACAAGACTTAGAAAACAATGAGATGCACCTTCGCTGCTCCTTGCTGCTATAAAAGGCATCTTTTTAAAATGACTAAAATTTACCCACCATCACTGAGTTCCAAAACTGAGTTCCATAGGAGAGCATTGTAGTCTGAGCATAAACCAGGTTTCCCGTGAGGAGGGCTCTTTCCTGTTCTTGTTTAGGAAACAGAGTACCTTCCTTGCGAGTCAATATAGAGTCCCCAAATCATCAAGTGATGAATACAAGCCTCAACTTGATAATCCCAAGGAATCCATGTCATTGATATTTGATCGGATGTCAATCAGGTGAAGAAAACTCACAGATGCCCAAGAATGTGGCAGATCCAAGGCGGGAGTCTGCTTCAGCAGCTCTGCTCAGTGAGAGGCACCCTGCAGCGTTGCAATCCTGCGGCGTCGCTGAGGAGTCTTGCTGAAGACTGGATGCAGTGGTCACTTGCAAGTGTGCACATCAGTCATGCTTTCACACCTCTTGCAGCGCACGTAGCAGCACCAGATGAATTTGCACTCACACCTCTCCACGTGCCTGACCACATGGGTGTTGTAGCCCCGGCCACAGCAGAGGAGGTTGCAGCCATCAGCACCTTCTGATGTCCGGTTGCATTCTCTGCCTTGGGTCCCTGGGATCCCCAGTTTCTTATCCTCTACACAGTAATTGGGAGATTTATTCACGTAGAGCAGATCATCCTTGCGGATTGGTATTTTCCTCTGATCTTTTTCTCTTCTGCGCATTTTCCTCTTTACTTTGTCTGATATCTGGATACTGTTTTCGTATTTATCCTTCAACAAATTGCCGATCTTTTCAAAAGAAGACATAGTTTTCCAGCATGTTTTCACAGCACAGGAGCCAGAAACTCCATGGCAGCGACAGTCTACTGACATCAACTTGGCGACAGCCTGAAACCAACAGGAATTGTATTTAAATATCATTCATGACATAGTCTATTCAAAAACAGAAGCACAGTTAACCAAATCATTTAACTTCCTGGTCTGTTTTGTGAATAATAATAAAAAAAGAAAATGATAGTTTTGAATCTAAGAGATTTTTAGAATTGTTTATTATTCAAATGTTTTATTCTTTGGTTTTGTCCCTGATGTTTAATTTGAATCTCTTGACCCTGCAGAGCAAACCTTTCCAAGTTGTATATAAACTAGTAGCTCAGGCTGAGATCATAAAGAACATTTACTTTTAATGGAGAATTTCTTTTCTTTTTTTCCTTTCTTTCTCTTCCCTTTTCTTTCCTCTTTTCTTTCCTTTACCTTCCTTCCTTGCTAGATGGTATGGGCATACACAAGAGAAAAAGAGAAATAGAAGGAGAAAGAACATCTCCTAACAAGGGCTGGTCATGCTTCAGCCTTTTTTTCCCTCCATTTCTCCATCCCATCAAGCCACCAGGGGTGGGACTCAGACTGATGTCAGCTGTGAAAGACCCAGCTTCTTCTGCACAGTGCTTACCCCCCAGGCTACAAGGCCAGCCAGGAAGTTACTCTAATCTCCTGATTTCAAATGAGGGAAGATGCTCATGCATGCCTGTGTGTTCCTGATACCATTCAAACTTAGCTACTCAGAGTATGACTCGGACTAGCAACACCAGCCGCACTTGGAGGAAAGGCAAACTCTCAAAGCACCACACCAGACTCAGGAGCTGTATTTTAACAAGACCCCCCCCCCCCACCCCCGAGGGCCTCCAAACACCATTCGGATT